TTGTAACATATTTCAAGATCATATGAGGCTAAAGATGTTGAAAATGATCTTGTGGAGTTGTCTTCTACAAGGTCGATTATTGTATGCTCAGCTCTCACAGCTGTGCAAAGTACCATAGTCTGCTCTGTGCATTGGGTCTGACCATCATTATCCTAGCCTTCCATGTAAATGGACTTTACTGCCTGCCCACTTACATAAATAAATATTTAATCAATATAATTTTATGAATAATACATATAACATATTGGGTTTCAGATATCAACATATCTCATGTAACACAAAAATTTCCATAATCTGAATATTCTGATCGGCATATCAATACCATAAAAGATGTGATCTACATTGCCCTAATTTGGTATATCACCAGACTGTTATCCAATTAAATTATGAAATAATCGAGATAATTATTGTGATGATTATGGAATAACGACAAGTATGTAATATTAATATTGGTCTTTAAAGTTTTACTCAAATATTAAGACACATCATTATGCACATAATAAATGCCCTGAATACTTTATAATCCCTTATAATAAAGAAAGATCGAATTTATTATTGTGAGATCAAATAAATTTTATCTATTTTATCAATTAATACAGTTCCTTTTTGCCTTTCTGTACATTTTCATTAAATATTACAAATAGTGCTAAAATTTGAGGGTTTTGAATTGAAAATATAGAATATAACAAATCTACATATACTCTTTTGCTAACAACACTAGCTTAAATCCTGCAAAGAGACAAAGAGACGTAGAGAAGTGGAGAAATATATTAGTATAAGATCAAAAAAAAAGTAAATTAAAATATCATTTTAAAAGTAACAATAGTAAAAGCATAAAAAAGAATAAACATATCATCAAACCTGTTATTTATAAACCGCAAACAACGTCTTGAGAAAACTATAAATAAATATATATATATATATATATAAACCCGAAAAAAGTTAAATCATATAGTTTAAATAGATTACAAACCAAGTAGAAAGTTTTAGAATACTTAAAAAGTGGTTCTCATCTAACTTCCAAATTACATCGCCGATTACCAAATTACTTTACCGTCTTGTAGAAAAGAAGGTATAGTTTCTAAATATTTATATCACAACCTCTGCGAATTTATATTCGTGGCTGCGAATCAATTCTTGTGACTCTCGTGACGGAAAATCGTTACTTTAATAATACTTTAGTATGACGAGATGATCTACAAAAATCAATCACAATAAAAGTTCGCTATGCTGACCCTGGTATATTACCGATCCACGTGAACAATCCACCCTACCGATAGTACTATATTACCCTATTCGTCATACTTTTTATTTCAGTTCGCTATTGGAGTTAAATTAGACTATATAATTACTAAAGCTCTCCCAACAATAGTAACAGTATTAAATAATAAAGTTTTAAAAGTAACGTCATTATCTATTTAATATAGCTATTAGTATTTTTCGGTACGTTATAGATTAGCAGCTCTGTATGTAGATATTAATCTTATGCACATTAATGTGTTGATTTTTTTACTTCTTTACCTAATGCATTGTTTATTTCAACAAGCCAGAGTACCTCCCAAACAGGTCTTAAAATATTAGTAATTTCCCGGCCATTTACTGCGTAAATGCTTATTACTTAAATTGTCTTTTTTGATCGTCTATTACCGGTAATTTCAGCCTATATCATAGATCAACATCGACATTTTTAAATGGAAGACAAAATACTATGTATTTTAAGTCCTGATCCTATGACCATTTTGTGAGAAATGCTTATTTCCAGTAATATCACTGGAATGGCTACTGGAAGTGAAGTTAATAGTGTCATTGGAACTTTTGCTATTGCAAAATCTCATTGGAAGGCCAGAAATTTCCACTGGAAGCCAAAATTTACACCATTTTTTATTTCTACAAATGATACGAACCAAAAAAAAACCCCCCATATAGAATATTAGGGTTGAGATAGAGATTGTTATTGTTTATGGTTAAAATTTCATTCTCGTCACACCAGAAATGGGACTCTCCCTGCTTCACCGATTTTAATTCTAACCTAAAATCAGACTAACCATAACGATAATTGTTAAATTGGGCCAATTTAATTGTCGGTCAAATGGTTGTCGGGAAAATGAGATCCATCGATGTTTTTTACATTTGACTTTATTAAACTGTAAACTTTGAGTTAGTTGAGTCGACAGATTTAGGTCCACTACAATTATTACCGCTCATAAGAGTTGTTGTTTCGGAAATTATATCCTTTAAAAACATTATACTTTTGTTCCAATAATGTCCATACGCATCCCATAATAACGCGCACTTATGTAATATTTATTGACGTATTTTGATGCATGCGTATCAGGTGTATTATTTCGAAGTAACGCACATAAGCGCCTCTAAATAATTAAATAACACGCGGAGTGCGTTATTTAGTACCTATTTTATAATACGTGACCTATCTAAAACTTTTATTCTTATTCCTTATTGGTATTTCGTGTAGGTCTTATCTGCTTACAAATTAGGGATGGGTTCGGTTACGAACGGCTACGACTATTCATAGGCAATTTGCTAAATACTGTGATGATTTTTTATTTTTGTTCTTTTAATTAAGTTGTTCAGATTAAATTCTGTTCATCTCGTCTTATAAGTGGAAAGAACGATACCTTCTTTGGAACTCGGAATTTTAAAATTTGGTAACATAATAGCCGGCTACTAGCCGGCGGTTAGTAGCCGACTATGACGTTACCAAATTTTATTCCAGAGAAGGTACCGTTCTTTCCACTTATAAGACGAGGTGAACAGAATTTAATTCTGAACAACTTTAATTAAAAGCACAAAAATAAAAAATTCATCACAGCATTTAGCAAATTGACTATGAAACATGAAATCATATTTTTGAATGTCTCTAGTATTAATCAGAGATACAAAAACTGGGTTGTATTCGTAGAGATAGTTAAATTACTTTTGGAAATTGAAAAAGTAGTTATAATTTTTACAATTATTATTATTAATTATTATACAATAAATTTGGATCCTTCATCATAATACTTTTCAAAATCCAGTTCTCTAAACCAATTATTTTTATTTTTCGGCCCTTATATGTAAATCCCCTATAATTTGCAAATAATTGTATGAATACACATTAGACAACCTTAAATCCGAGCCTTCATAGTTTTATGTAAGAATTTCATAATCAAATACTTATAAACTAACTCAGGATTCACTAACCCAATTATTAGTATCACTATGAAGTTTGGGCATTCAGATTGCTTGTACATTAGTCGTAATAAAAAATATGAGTTGATTTGCAGTTACATATACAGTAAACATGGATATGTGCATCGATTTTTGGTTATGTTGAGATTACGGTCTTTATTGTAAATTATGCTGTACTAAAATGCACGATCGCTAAATCAGAAAAGCATGAAGATTCATATTTACTTGATAATCAAGATTTAAATACACTTTTGTAACTAGAGTCTCGTGTTGAAAATTTTATTTAGAAATCAAGCTTTGACTAGCACAATATAGTAGCTACAGTATTATAATTTATTGATTTTATCGATTATAATTAGCAATGAACAAATTTTCATGTACTTTTAATTAACCTATTCAAGAGTAATACAAAGGAGAATTTATGATTATAATCATGTGGATTTATGAGGTAAAACCTGAAGGTTTTAGACTGACAAAATTCGAAGACTAGTTTTATAAAGAAATTAGCCATTGCTTTTCTCAAAAGACAGAATAGAGTTTAAGCACTCATAAAATTCTGAATAAAGAAATGTTATACATACGTACTTAATGTAATACTGAGAAAATCAATATACATTATTAAAACCTTATTAATTTATTAATATTTTATTAATGATTCTTAATGTACTATACATAATATATTACAAAGTCTAAGCTTCTGAATCATCATCATTGTTATTATTGAAATCATTAATAGTTTTTTTAAATTCAATCTCATTTATAATAAATTCTACAAAACAGCAAAATGTAATGATCCAAATTAATCCATCAGCAATAGAATAAATATTATCTTCTAAAAGGTAACAATTGGCAAAAGCTGTACTAAAATAAAGAGAAAAAAATAACATGAAAAAGACTCTTAGTACTATAATTAACCCATTTTTTAAAAGTCGAAATCTATAGAGAATGATAAGAAAAGCTTCAAATGTCAAGTTAATGATTCCAACGATGAAAACAGTTAAAATATTTTTAAAATAAGAATTATAATCTGGCTTATATCGTACCAATTTGATGATAAAAATAATTAAATAAAGTATGATTAATATTACTTTTATAAACTTAATAAAACAGCTAACCGTAACTACTCCAATTATAGGCCATTCTGGAACACCAGCAAAGCATTCTAATAATGAAAGAAGGGGTATAATCCATAATAATGTGACCATTGCAGAATATATATCTGGTTTTAATGCACCCAGAGCAGCGATAATGTTAAAGGTTAACGCAAAAACAAGATAAATCAAAAATATCACCAGAGATACGATAATGTGGCTTTTAATAATAAAATCTTGTCTGAATGTGATAAAAAGATAGGCTAATTCAATTACAAGAAAAATTATGGACAATGTGAATACAAAAGTCATGATTATAGCACCACCATATGAAGCAGATGGATTATAATAAATAGGATAAGGTAAAGTTCCATTATTTGTTGATGTTACAGATGATGGATTATCGAGTGAAATATTGATTGCATTATAGATTATTTGATATATCCAGAGAGCTATATAAAGAAGTAAAGCTAAAATTTTAAATGTATTTATAGTTCGATAAATTTTTACATTCATTGGAAAGGTTATAACTGGGGTTAGTTCAATATTTGTTTCTTTCTCGGGTGGTTCCTGAACAGGAGATGAAACTGATATTTCGTCTGATGCTTGTGGTGCTTGATTATTGGTTACATCTTCATAATAATTGTTTTGTTTTATAACTTGAGAATATATATCATCATATTCAATACTTGTTCTCGGTGACTCTGTCATTTTTTTAAGAAGACCAGCTTTTGAAATATTTTTCTAAACGGATTAAATATAAAAAATGGATGGTTTATATATTTTTATGTTCATTAAATTCTGTTACCACCAATGTGTAATATTTATGCAAGCTGTAACAGAATGTTCGGGTGTCACTTGACAAAATTGTTTATAAACATACGTTTTACTAACTTAGCCGTATTATTGTTTCATACGGATAATGAAAGGTTTAACTTGGCCATTTATTAACGTCAATCTTCGTTGTGATACCATATTCTAAATGTGACTCGTCATTTACCTTTGTCTACATCAAATTAGACTTTAATTTGTTACACCCGACAAATGCATCTAACCTTATTCTCGATCTCTAATATTGTAAACTGATTTAATATGAATTTTCTTTTAAAGTTCAGAGTTGATGCAACATATGAATTATTATCTCGAAATGTTAAATGTGCAATGATTTAACAATATTAAAATCAAATTAAATTGATTCGAGTAATATATATTCTTATCGTACGAATAATTTAAGTATTATGAAAAATAAATCCGCTACAAACATTTTCTATTCTGAGTATTGTTCACCTAGCCAAGACTAGAGATAATTATAGATTACTGAGTCATTATTAATTACCATCGTTATTTTAAACTTTTTTTTAAATACATATTTGGTCATACAAAATCAATATTTTGGTATTCATAAAGTAGTAGGACAAATTTTGAAACTTACAATTGTTTTATGAACTTTTATAAAAAAACCGGGTAGCTGATTCTGTTCTGAAGGAAGCTTTAATCTTTGGTCCGATGACAATGATATCATGCATGAAGAAGACTCCCGTTTGATTGGCTAAGTTATGTCGATCCACACATGACTATTGACCAATCGAATTAGTCATAGAAATTCAATATACAAGTAAGCAAAGCTTTACTAATGATTTACCGTGTACGGAAATTCTATTTTATTATTACATATAGTTACTCTAACCTGTACAAGAAACATATGATAAAATATTCGCTTCTAAATAAAGTTTGTTAGTTTTAGAGATCATTTCACATATTAAGTTCTAGAGATAGCTTTTATGGTGATCTTTTATTACATACTCGAAGTGACAGGTCATTTTGCTGACATCACACCGTACGACAATTCACATAACAAATCTAGGTTTGTGGCAGTCGTGAACTACAAAGATCAGGTGTAATGTAACACATCAAAAAATTAAAAAACCTTTTAGTGCTCTAACAAAAACTTTTTGTTGAGCAATTTTACTGTATAAACTACCCTCTTCTAACTTCTAACCCTAACGATCTTTAAGAAATTTGTTGAGCCACAAATGTTATATTCTAAAAAATATATTATTGGATTTTTGTGTAATATAAACCTTAACATTAAATTGTATAATGCATAAGTGCTCATATAATCAGCTTATATTTCTTACTATGATCGATAATATACTCATCATCAATATGATCTAAATTAATATCTTTCAAATAAATAAGTTAAAAACAGGCAGAGTTGTTTCACCGCCTTTACGATGTTATTATTTATATCAAATAAATTTCACTAGCATTTTGATGAACAGTTAAAAGCTTCGATTGGACCGATTTATATAATCCTGATGCAATTTGATCCAGAAAACGTTTTCTTATCCATAGAACAAACATCAACAATAAAAAAAATCTCAACGGCATGCGCATATAAATTTCCTTATATAATTTCCCCCCAATAACAAAAAGCACTGACTCATTTACTCATAAGGTACTGGATCGACTATTATGATACAGAAATATAGTTTAAACAATAAAATTGCTATTCTGGCCTACATAATCTTCACTAACACTCTAACTACTGCACTCTCATCATTAACATCTTTCGCTATATCCTGAATAACACTGACTAATGAGGCTTTTGAAGGGCACTACTTGAGACAGGTTCTCTTTTAATTATAAGATGAGTTTGACGATGCGATAGTCATCTGTATCAGCAAAAAAAAAAGTTGAATAGCTATCTGTTATTTAAAATAAAAAATAACCAAATGAATATAAATTTTGATTGACTACTTTTAATCTCAGTTTATTATTATAACTTCTAGGCATAACCTTTCCACCAACACTATAATATTTGATTCTTTCGAAACTGATTGCGTATTGGGATCTTTCCCAGTTTCATCCATTGAAATAAATATGACTATCTCCATCAACCGGATAGTGCTTATCGCCCACACAAACACAGCAGTTAAATTCGATTCTTCTTTGACGAACTGACAACTTGAATATTTTTTACAATCGTATCAACGTAATATGACATTGCACAAGTCACGAACGCAAGGAACCTTTAATCAACAAATCACGCTTTTATTTATATAATACTACGATAGCAATACAATTACCATAAAATTTCAACTTACGGTAAGCCTTAGCTTAAAAACTACGAATACATCTAATAATGTAAGCAATTAACAACATGGTTACATTAAAATAAAGATTCATCAACTATATTGGTTAATCAGTATCTTATATAATTAGTTTTAACATATGAAAAATAAACTGGTTCCGAACTTTAGTTCACACAATTACGTATTTTCTTACTAAATAATGCTTAATACATATTATTCAAATGAATTCCTAGCTTCAAAAAACGACTTTTTCTTATATAAGTTCAAAACTAAAACTTAAACCATAAAAAATAACCACCATAGACTTCAAAAAATCAATATCCGTTAAAACACGAACCAATAAATGATATTAAATACACTGGTGATCATAAATAATGCAACAAAAAAAAAAATTTGGTCGGATCGAATTATCTCACGCAATTCCGGCGTATTTCTTAAATTTTTTTTTTATTTTATTCACAAATACTATCTTTTTTAAATAGCAAAATTTTAATAATCGTTATTATTACCAATGCGAAGATAATTGTGAATTTATTACAAATCATGTGTTGCATTATTTTTGATCGTTTTTGACAAAGATCAGATCGCGTGAGTTGTGCCACATAAATACATATAAAAATGGAAGTTTTATTCTTGATTCTGCATCTTGTGTAATGTTAGAATTGCTTACAAATCAAAAAAAAAGAACCATACAACCTCTGCCAAATGAACCCAAATATTGCTTTCTCTTCAAAAAAGGTACACCACAAGAGCAGTAGGTCGAGCTCACCATGTTAACTTTTCCATGGTCTCGTAAATTAGAAAAAAGTGATTAACAAACCACACACTTGAAGATTTAGGAAGGGTTGGTCATCCAACTTTGTTGGATGAACCAACCCAAAGAAGAATAATAAATTTAATTACCTCTTGTTGCTGTTTTATCATCATTGAGTGAGGACCCATCTCAAAATAAATGAAGATATTGAAATTTTGGTGTTTACTATTCGGTAAATACTTCAAAACCATGGTTTAGTGTCGAGAATAAAAAAAAAATCCCACCTGAATGATAGTCATTGAAAAACATGGTTTACTTTTGCAAAAAAATATGAAAAATGGATCGTTGAAGATTGGTCCAAGGTAATTTAGTTAAATGAGTCAAGGTTCCAAATTTTTGGGTCAGATGATAAGCAGTACTATTGGAAACATCATAGAAAACTGTTAAATCAGTTTCATATTAAGCTTACTATGAAATATGATAGTGAATCAATTATGATTTGGGATTGCTTTATCTCTCTTGGTGTCGGCAGCTATTGTAAGGTCAATGGTATAATGGATACAGATCTGTATCTAAAAATACTTTATAAAAATTTAATGTGGATGATTAAGGATCATGGATTTGAAGTCAGAAAAGTTGTTTTTTAACAAGATAGAGCATCTTGTCATATGGCGACCTTAACCAAACATTGGCTTACAAGGAAGAAGATAAAGTTTTTTAACTAGCCTCCCTAATCAGTTGATCTAAACCTGATTGAACACTTGTGAGATAAAGTTGATCATTAGCTTAGAGACTCTCTGGTCAAATTTCAAGTGAAAAAGATGTTTGGAAAAAAATTTAGATGGTTTGGCAAGCAATTGACATTGAAACCTACATGAGGTTAATTTGTTCAATGCCAGAATGAATCCATGATATAATTAGAGCCTGGGGTGGCTACACCAGATAGTAATAGCTGAAAATTATTAAAAAAAAAAATTTTTTTTTTTATGTAAAAAAATTTTTTTTATTTTACAATTGTGATGCTGTTAAAATGAGCAAAAATAATGTAACATGTATATTGAAATAAAGCCCATGCTTCAAAAAAATTTTAATCATTAAATTTTTAAATCCTTTTTATTAATGATAATATTGCTATTTGCGAATAAAATAAAAAAAAAATTAAGAAATACACTTGGAATTGTATGAGATAATACAATCTGACTAAATTTTTTTTTTTGTTCATTATTTATAATCACTAGTGTTTAAATATACAACAAAGGATTGAATAAAAATGCATAAAGACATAATCATGCTAGTCCTGTGTGATATCATATGTTGTGCAGTTACTAAACTCTATAGTATAAAGCTGATATGTTCTAGTTTACGCATATACTTACATACTGTTAGAAATAAAACTAACACATCAGAAGACTTGCAAAGTGATTGTCATAATGGCCTACTTGGCTAATCGGTAGTGTCCATGATGGTCCACTTAAAACATGTGTGTTCAGTCCCAAGAAAGTTATATAATAGCACACAAGCCTCAATGTGAAACCCTACCACTCTTTCTAAATAAAAAATGTTAATCTGAACCAATCTATTCACACTACTACAACTAGGAATGGATATTAACTTTACTTTATTCTTCTTGGATTATGTGTATTACAATGTTAAGAGGTGTGATTGTAATAATTATGTTGGTTTCTAGTTTTAGAATGAATGATATTAAAACATTCTTATTAGTTCTATAAAGAATATGAGAAATATTAAAATAACAAAGTTGTGTCTATAAAAGGTTAAAGATTAAAACAAAAATAATTAGAATTTGATAAAAACAATAAGAAGAGTTGTAATCTTATATGTGTTTTCCTTATGAATAATTTATTATAAAAGGATGAAATTTTTTCTTTTCTTAAAAAATATTGTCATATAGTTCAGAGTAGTATAATAATACAGTTATGTAGTCCTATAGTACAGTATTGTTTTACAAAATAATAAAAATAATAAAGCTCTTTTGAACCTATAAAAATATAATAATACTTTTTAAACTCTAATATTTATCATATAATTTTCTCTAATAATAGTCTTGATCTTGTATTAAATCATAAAATTATCTTTACTAAACATTAAGAAATGTTATATAGCATAATTATTTTTCAAATAATAATTTAATACATTTGTTTTATTTCTAAACTCAACTATCTGACTTTTCATAATATATACATATATAATTTATATACATATAAATATAGAAACAATAATATAATAGAATCATATATATACAGAGACTATGATATTAGATATAATAAAACTAATAATAAAGATAACTAAACTTTTTATTTAAAGGTAGGGTGTAATATTTTAAAATTATATATAAACTTAATAGTATATTTTTTTTATAATTTCAATTATGAAAATTTTACTAATTAAATATTTTTTGAGCTTCTAAGTAAAGTTTTAGAGTAGGTTCTTGTGATTTTAACAGTAGTAAAATTATTAAAATTGATATAAAACTCAGAAATTAGCCAATTAAAGTTAGCTTTTTTGTGTAATCTCAGAAAAATCATAGGGCTTTCTGGAAGAATTCAAGTTATATTCAAATAGAATTTTTTTAAAGTAAACTTCTTATAAAATTTTAATATAATAAATAACTTATTTAAACCTATATATTATTAAATTTTGATAAAAATTAATTAAAAAATAAAAAAGTTTTATTAGTAACACATTTTTAATTTACTATATAAAAATCTATTATATCATCTAGATCATATAAAAAATGATCTACATACACTCTACCCTTAAATTTTTAATAGAAATTCATATACATAATTTATTTTTATATACATCAAATATTAATAAGTCTGATTCTAAATATAATATACAAAAATAAGTTAAACCAAAGATTATATACTCTTAAATTTAAAAATTAAAAACATTATAATTAGTTAACCTATCTGCAATAAAATTTTTACCTAATATATCAGTCTTGTTAAACTTAAAACTAAACTTTGTTATATAATATCCTCTAGTATCTTTTTATATTTCCAAATCTACAATATCAAACACATCTAAAATATTTAATTACAACATCATATTTCTAATCTTCTCAAACAACTTAATAATTCTAAACTATTATGAGCATAGCAGAAACTCGTATTTTTACGGAAAATCACAGGTTATTGATATAGATCCAAACATGATTATTGATCAATCAAATCAATTTCAATGCATAAAATACATAGTAGAAACTCAACAAACTCTGTCAATTACCAAACGCCCTGTCTTTGTTCTTATGAAAACTTTCTGAGAAAAGCAATTGAAAATAATTAGAAAAGATTTTTTGTTAGAAATACTCAAAATGAAGAAATTTTACTTATAAAGGAAGGTACTTTTGGTTTAACTTATTATGGGTAAGCGGATTGCAAAATTTCTGGTTTTTAGACTACAACCGTATATCAAATTTTCAATTGACTATATAAATAATCTGTGTAACAATGATTATGGAATATATCAGATACAAGTTTCTGCTATGCTCCTATTATGCATATCTACTTATATTTAAATTCAACAGTTACAAAACAACCTTTGGTCTTTTACTAATATCTCTTATATTTTAATTCAATTATTAATGTCCTAACTGTCTAACTACAAACTTTTAAAATTATTCAGCTTATTAAACATATTGGCTGATTATTTTTCGCTAATTCAACTTATAACATTCTATATACTCTAAATAATAGAGCTATTTCTTTTGAATTTCTTTTTTTTTCTTATCTCAAATATTCTATCTTTAAAAACAACTTAGATATCATAAACTATTTCTTCTTAATCAACTTACTATATATAATAATTTATACTTATTACATTAGCAATACATTTTTTCTAGATTAAACAAACTCTCTAAAGGTATTATATCTCAATGGTTTACTACTCTTTAAGACATTACTATAAACCATTCCCATCAATATATTCTACATATTCACTTTAATCTACTTTAAACAAATTACTTTTTTTATATTACTAATTACTTTATCTCTAATATCAAATTCTGGTTACTTATTGTCCTTAATGATCTAATAATTATTGGCAAGATCAAAAAACATAATACTTCTATAGGTCTTACCCTTATTACTTACTAATATTGCTTATATCAGTTCTAGTTTTCAAATTTATATTTTA